GAGGTGGGAAGTGGGCTGTGACAGGGAAAGCCTGACTTAGTTGTTCTGCAACTAGGTAAGGTATCACGGCCTGGGAGAGAGAATTGTTGTTCCTAGGTTCCCCTTTTTCTGAGCTTCAAGTTGTGTTTTTTGGGAAGTCCTTCTCTTCGTGGGAAGTTGAGTGGTTTTGGGACGCTGGACCTGGTTTCCAGCAGGACTTTTTGGTGACTCCGGGTTGAATTGTGAGGTCCCCGGCCTCGACTTTCGTATCTGAATATAATATCAATGACTTCTCAAAAAAAAAAAAAAAAAAAAAAAAAAAAAAAAAAAAAAAAAAAAAAAAAAAAAAAAAAAAAAAAAAAAAACCGGGAAGCCGGCGAGCAAACAATTTAAGAATGCAATCATCAGTCAGTGGGCATCTGCACGTAATCCACCGCAATAGGACAATCCTGTCTGAGATACCTTTTTTCTTTTTTTTGACGGTAAAAAGGGAACTGCGTTTAAAGCTGTGCCGTCCGTCAAATTTCGAGACAGTTTTAAAACGATTCGATTTGCCCTGCGCAATTTTTTATTTTTTATTTTTTAAGAGCTTTGCATCTACTATGTAGTGTGGGATAGCAAGTACTCGGTGATCTGTGGATATAGGGCCTGGCCTGCTAGTTTCGAAATTTCTCTGTACTTGTTTCTTGTTTTTCCTGTCCTGCTGTTTTCTACCATCGGATCCCCCACGTCGCCAGATCCTGACTGTGTCCGCCGGGTTCTCCTTTCCTGGTCCCTTGCTGCCGTTTTGGATTTCAAATTATTGTTCTTGTTTGTTGTTGTTGTTGACATTTGTTGTTGTTGTTGTTGTTGTTGTTGTTGTTGTTGTGGTTGTTGTTGTTGTTGTTGTTGTTGTTGTTGTTGTTGTTGTTGTTTTTCCGGGTCGTTGTTGTTTTTCCGGGTTGTTGTTGTTGTGGTGGTGTCGTTTGGCCCTGTTTGACATGTGGGGTGCCAAATGTCTCTTAGCCGTTGTGGTGATTTTTCCTTGTTTTTCCTTGTTTTTCCTTGTTTTCCCCTTTTTTCCCCCTTTTTTCCCATTTTTCCCCCTTTTCTTTTCCTTTTTTTTTCTTTTCTTTTTTTTTCCCAAAGCGCATGCTTGCTATTGAGTCTTTCGACGAACAACCCGCGTGGAAAAAAAGAGAGGGAGAGGGGGGGGGGGGAGGGATGTAGGCAGGGGGGAATGAGGGAGGAAGGAGTGAGGAGAAGAGTGAGGAGAAGAGTGAGGGGAGGAGGGAGGGGAGGAGGGAGGGGAGGAGGGAGGGGAGGAGGGAGGGAGAACCAAGAAAAAGCTGCGAAGCAGTATATGCGCACCGGACTGAAAGGGGCATAACACAGAGATTTCGGTCCAGCAGGGCATAATTCCGCTCTAACTACATCTTTCAGGGGCATTTTGGCATATATCTCAGCTTATGGGCGTATTTTTCAAATTATCTCAATTTTCGAATGAATAATTTTATTTGTATGAAAAAAGTCGACCCAGGCTATACATCAAGTTTTTGAATACTCGATTATAGTTTGTTTTTTTTTTTTTTTTTTTTTTTTTTTTTTTTTTTTAACTAAGCTTATAATCATCAAATTCAAATATTACGAAAGACATGAAATCTCGGTCCCACCGACCCAACGAGCCTGTAGCTAGACTATTGATTGTTATTTTTATTATTATTATTATTATTTTTTGTTGACTTTGCACTGTGCCCAGCAGGTTATCAGCAGGAGACCGAAAGTAACGCCGCTAACCCACCCTTTTTTTTTCGTTTTTTTTTGGGGGAGACTCAGCCTTGCGGCCACTAATGCACCCTAACTACCGTCTTCACCCGAATAAAACGCCCACTCATTATCTCTGCATCTGGACTGAAAATTGTGCCAAATGCAGCTATAATGACCGGGCATTCTATTCGGGTGAAGACGGTACCTACCGAGCTGTGTGGAATACAAGCCCTACTGTGAGTTAGACCGACAGCAGAAGTCTTTTTTGTTTCTTTTCTTTTTCTTTTTTTTCGGGCAGCAGAAGTTAGCCTCCAATGAAAAAGGGGGAAAAAAAAAAAAAAAACAAATCCTCCTGTGAGTATGCCCTGAGCTTGTCAAAAATTACGGGGCTTTTTTTTTCCCTTAGGGAATTAAAAAAATATATACCTGTTACGTGAAAAATGCAATTGTGGCCAGACCTGAGGCTGGGTCCCACCTGCGCATTTCGTTGTAGGAGGCTATCACGAAGAGTACGG